TCCGCCATCTTGCCGGAACCTCTCCTCAAGTTCAAGAGATCTATATTTGTGCCCATTCCAAAAAAGGTGATCCAAAAGAATGTGGAAATTATCAAACAGTATCATTGATATCACATGTAAGTAAAGTCTTGCTGAAGATGATTCAAAAAGGGTTGTAGACATATGTTGACAGGGAACTTCCAGAAATGCTTGCTGGATTCAGAAGAGGATGTAGAATGAGGGATATCACTGCTGATATCAGATGGACGTTGGCTGAAAGCAAGGAATACCAGAAGGATATTTACCTGTGTTTTATTGACTATGCAAAGGCATTTGACTGTGTGGATCCTAACAAATTATGTGTAATGTTGAGAAGAATGGGAATTCCAGAACACTTGATTGTGCTCATCAAAAACCTGTACATAGACCAGGAGGCTGTCGTTCAGACAGAACAAGGGGACACTGCATGGTTTAAAATCAGGGAGGGTATGCATCAGGGTTGTGTCCTTTCACTATGCTTGTTCAATCTGTGTGCTGAGTAAATAATCCAAGAAGATGGATTGTGTGAAGAAGAAGAAAACAGCATCAGGATTGGAGGAAGAATCATTAACAACCTGCAATATACAGGTGACACCACTTTGCTTGGTGAAAGTGAGGATGACTTGAAGCACTTAACTGATGAAGATCAAAGACTACAGTCTGCAGTATGGATTACAGGTTCATCTGTTTGACTTTATGGAAATGCAGTCACATACCATTCACTTCATCCGTGTGATGTGACCATCTCCATGGTTTTCAGTATCATCACTGACTTGTGCAACCATCACTACAATCAGTGTTGGTATATTCTCATCACCCCAGAAAGAAACTCAGAGCCATTTGCTGTCACTCACCAGCCTGCAGGCAGTGACTAAACTACTCTGTCTCTATGGATTTGCCTGTCCTGGGTGTTTTTTGTATATGGAATTGTACAGTGTATGGCCTTTTGTGATGACTTCTTTCACCTACCATCATGTTTCCAAAGTTCATCCAAGTTGTGTCAGCACTTTGTATATTTGTGTTGGGAACACTGTACCATTGTGTGGCTGTACAACATTTGATGTATCCGTTCATTCATCAGTTCATGGCCTTCCCGTTCTTTATTCCATTGGTGTCAGATACAGAACTTAGTTTTGGAGAATGTCCCATGTCGCCTTCCAAATAAAGATGAGATACTTGTGCATTCTTGGTGTTTTCCAGATTTTCGCAGCGTTTGAGAATCTTGGATGTTGCTTTAATTGTGCTCTGTCTGCCGTGCCAACATTACAGAGAGGTGTGGACTATTGATGCCAAGCTGGCTGATTCTTGGCCATTTTGCCTGCAGGATGAATTTGTATTCAGTAGATGTGCATGGATTTTTGTTTGGAGTTTTAGACATCCGTGAACTAATTCCAAGTAACCATTTCTTCTCTAGGCTTAGTGGACGGAGTGATTCCTCTTACAGAAACAAGGCTACCCAGTTCCACACGGCCACATTGGTTGGAGCCCACCATTTATGCCTCTGAAGAAAATGGCCTCAGGAGAGCTTCAGCAGATGGAGCAGGAGGGGACAGCTTGAATATGCTCTCCGTTGCCATTAAAATATTGTCTGATAAATCAGAATCCAATACAAAGGTTTGTGTGTTGTGCTTTGACACCATGAAATATGCTTGCTTTTGATTTGATTAGCAGCTAAAAGGGTTTCATAAAGGGCACACGCTTATTTTCCTAGGAACCCTCTGGAATTCTAGGATTGTGTAGCTGGCAAACATAATTCTTTGTGTTCTGCGTAGGAGTTTCTCATTGCTGTAGGATTGAAAGGAGCCACGCTTCAGCACAGAATGCTTCCTTCTGGCCTTAGCTGGCACGAGCAGGTGAGAAGGCTGTTCTGTGTGTCTCAGTCTGTTTGCTGGTTTATTTTGATGCCATGTTCAGCTCAGTGAATTGTCATGAGGAGTCACTGCTAGGTAACCACCTCATAGGTTAAGAAATACAGCATTATTACCAAGAGGTAGGTGGTCTTTTTACCTTAAAGTTAGGTCCCTAAACGTTTCAAAGACAGTTGTTGTTGACACACAGCCCACTCTTCAGTCTGTCCACGTCCTGTCCGTGACATTGACGATGTTCTTCAGTTGTTGTTGACACACAGCCCACTCTTCAGTCTGTCCACGTGCTGTCCGTGACATTGTCGACGTTCTTCAGTTGTTGTTGACACACAGCCCACTCATCAGTCTCTCCGCGTGCTGTCCGTGACATTGATGACATTCTTCAGTTGTTGACACACAGCCCACTCTTCAGTCTGTCCACGTGCTGTCCGTGACATTGACGACATTCTTCAGTTGTTGTTGACACACAGCCCACTCATCAGTCTCTCCGCGTGCTGTCCGTGACATTGACAACGTTCTTCAGTTGTTGATACACAGCCCACTCTTCAGTCTGTCCACGTGCTGTCCGTGACATTGACGACGTTCTTCAGTTGTTGTTGACACACAGCCCACTCATCAGTCTCTCTGCGTGCTGTCCGTGACATTGACGACGTTCTTCAGTTGTTGACACACAGCCCACTCTTCAGTCTGACCGCGTGCTGTTCGTGACATTGACGACGTTCCTCAGTTGTTGTTGACACACAGCCCACTCAGCCGTCTCTCCGCGAGCTGTTCGTGACATTGACGACGTTCTTCAGTTGTTGTTGACACACAGCCCACTCTTCAGTCTCTCCACGAGCTGTTCATGACATTGACGACATTCTTGGAAGCGCGCAGCCATCCTCACCCTGCTTGCCATTGCTCCTCCTCCCTTGATATAATGCACTGCCCCTTAAGGTTCCTGTCTAAACTTCCGAGTTACTGTTACCAATTTGGTCCCATAGAGATAGATCTGAAAAGAGCATAATGCTCCAGGCAGATTGTTCACTAATTAAGCTGAACCATTGTCTGGTTTTAATATTTCAGGGCATATTTTTGACTTAAGGGTTAAATATTATCTCAGGGCACTGATTTCACAGGTTTATCTAGCCCCAGGGCTCCAGGAAATCTGGAGTCCATGAGTATTTGCAATTCTGTTCTGCATTTCCCCCCACTTGACTAGGATTCCTGTATGAATCCTTGCTCAGAATGTTCAGTAATGGTAACAGAGCACCGCCCCGGTCTTCTGGTCTCCTGGCAGTAAGGCATTAGCCACATGGTCCACATCCTCCCCTGCTCCTGACTCTCCTCTCTCCTCTGTTGCACCGGGTGAATGGACAATTGTCATGCCTTGGATGGCCTGAAGTATTATGCCCTGAAGTATTAAACAGTGTGTTGGTAACCATCTGTTCTCAAGTCCATAATCTTAGTGTCAGTGGTGTTGGTAATCATCAGTGGTTCTTAATTCCATGATTTCAGTGTCAATGGTGTTGGTAACCATTGATAATTCTCAGGTCCAGGTCCATGAACACAGTGGCAGCGGGGATGGTAACCATCGATGGTCCTTAAGTCCATGATTTCAGCATCAGTGGTGTTGATAACCATCTGTCCTCAAGTCCATGATCTCACTGTCAGCAGTGTTGGTAACCATTGATGGTTCTTAAGGCCATGATTTCCGTATCAATGGTGTTGGTAACCATCCATCCTCAAGTCCATGATTTCAATGTCAACGATGTTGGTAACCATCCGTCCTCAAGTCCATGATCTCACTGTCAGCAGTGTTGGTAGCCATCCATTCTTAAGTCCATGATTGTGGTGTTATTCTCTGGGCCAGTCTCACGATACTGCTTTAAGGTGTGTAGGAGTTTTCTGTAACTAATTTCCATTGTAATAATTCTATGTGACTAATAAAATACAGTTGGTTATTTTTCAGAGAAAATTTTGAGTCGGAAGTTAACATTTATTTATGTAAAAATCAAATCTAGTATGCTGTGTTCTTTTCCAGGTTTCTCATAAAGAGGAACTTTTTCATGGTGCTGCAAAAATAATTATTTTAAAACTTTAATATTTTCAAAATGCTTTTTTCATAAAAGCATTTTGGAAACATGAGAAAATGAGAGATAGTTAGTATGGACAGCGAACTGGCTGCAATGATTTAGCCACCTCTATATTTGTGTAAGGAGCTCTGGTGGTGCCGTTATTAAAGTATTCAGCTACTAACTGAAAGGTTGGTGGTTTGAACCCAGTAGCTGCTCAATGGGAGAAAAGTGAGGTACTCTGCTTCCGCGAAGAATGACAGCCTTGGAGACCCTGTGGGGCAGTTCCACTCTGTCCTCTAGGGGAGCTATGAATCGGAATCAACTTCATGGCAGTGGGTTTGTATTGGGCTTTGCTTCTGTGAAGAATACAGCCTTGCGTACCCTGTGGGGCAATTCCACTCTGTCCTCTAGGGGCGCTGTGAGTCAGAATTGACTCAACAGACATAGATTTGGTTTATTTAGATTTGCAGGAAGAGATACTGGTGAGGGGACTGATTCTCAGATGGAGCTGCTGCTGCTGCTGCTGTTGTTGGGTGCCATCAGGTCAGCGTCGACTCATAGTGACCCTGTGCACAGCAGAACAAAACACTGCCCAGACCTGTGCCAGCCTCACGATCCTTGCTATACCTGAGCCCATCATTGCAGCCACTGTGTCAGTCAATCTTAATTGAGGGCCTCAGATGGAGCTACGGATAAATTAATGAAAAAGAACTTCCCCCAACCATGTGTTACATAGAAAACCAGACTGGTTTTCTTCAGCCTTCAGCAAATTTGGTTTTTCAAGTATTACTCCAAACAAAATGACATGAGAGCATATTGTGGACACTTTGTTGTTGGTTGTGGTCAAGTATCTAAAGTACCTGTTATGTTACAATGGCGGCCTCTTCCTTTCAAATCCTGGCTTTGCAGGTACTGTTGGAAGCAGGTTCATTGAAAATGGTGATTTCCTCATGGCCTGGGGCTTAGTGTATGCAGTCATTTGTTTGACATTAGGATTCAGGGTCTCCCATCAGAGCTTGTTTCCTGCTGAAGTGAGTGTTGGATATTTTTGTGCTTACAGATTTTATACTTCCTGAACATTGCTGATGAGCCTGTTCTGGGATATAACCCTCCAGCTTCCTTCACAACTTTCCACGTTCATCTCTGGAGCTGTGCACTCGACTATCGGTGAGTCCACCCCCAGAGCAGACTTAGGGTTTTTGTCTCACATGCATGCTACGATCGACAGATACTTCATTCACAGAGCTGGTCTGCAGATGGGTTCTGAGCACGCAGCCATCGCTGCCACACCCTGACTTCTGTTGTTTCTTCTTTTTTTTTTTTTATTGTGATTTGGGTGAAGATTTACAGAGCTAATTCACTTTCCATACAGCAGTTCACATATACTTTGTCTCATGTCATCTGTTGTTTCTTCTGATGGCAGGCCTGTGTATTTGCCTCTCCGCTCTCTTCTCACCGTGGAAACATTCAGCATTTCTAGCAGTGCTGCACTGGACAAGTCTGCCTCCACTCTCAGGTACAGAGCTCAGTGATGGTGACCGAAGTCACCTAATTGCATTCAGTCTTCTCAACACTCTTTCCTCAAGAGGCAGGATCTTTTTGTCCAGGTCAGGAGCTCTAGTTGTGCTGTGCTTAAAGCATCAGGCTGCTAACCAGAAGGCTGGCGGTTCGAACCCACCAGCCACTCCATGGGAGAAAGATGAAGTAGTCTGCCTCTGTAAAGATTGGCAGCCTTGGAAACCCTGTGGGGCAGTTCTACTGTGGCCTCTAGGGGCACTGTGAGTTGGAATCAGCTCAATAGCAGTGGGTTTGGTTTTGAGTTTTATCCAGGTTAGGAACTCTGATAGTGTAGTAGTTAAAGCATTTAGTTGTTAACTGAAAGGTGGGCAGTTCAAACCCACCTGCTGTTCAGTGGGAGAGAGATGGGGCAGTCTGCTTACGTAAAAATGACAGCCTTAGAAACCCTCTAGGGCAGTACTACTCTGTCCTTTAGGGCTACTGTGAATTGGAATCAACTCAATGGTGGTGGGTTTTGTTTTTTTGTTTTTTATCCGTATCATTCGAATTTTCTCTCAGGTGATTTCCTGGCACCTCCTTTCATTACTTCATTTCATCCTTGGGGAAGAGATTTGAGATTCTCAGTTTGCTTTTTAAACATGTGATAAACTTCCTAGGAAGCCCAATAAACAATCATCATACCTTAAACCTCATCAATTTGAGGTTGAAAAGAAACTGCCAACAAATGTGCAATGAGCTGAGCAGGTGGTTCAGTGTCATTCCTTGCACTTCCTAAGTAGCACCCACAGGGAGTTTTAGGGAGCTGTGACGTGGCGATAGTAGGTTAGAAACCCCGTGCGAGCTGACCTGGCTCATTTGAGAAAGAGTGTGATGCTGTTAGCAGCTGCTGCTCCCGTGCTGTGGACTCCAAGCCGGTGCCACAGGCTCCAGGCCAGTGCTGGAGGCGCAGGCAGGTGCCGCAGGCTCGGGGCTGGTTCTGCGGGTTCTGGGCTCCGGGCGGGTGCCACCGGCTCCAGGTAGGTGCTGTGGGCTCTGGGCCAGTGCTGCGGGCCCTGCAGGCTCCAGACCTGTGCCGTGGGCTCTAGGCTGCCTGCTCCTTGCCTGTTTCACCTGTGGGTTTTCTGTCTTTGCTCAGGATCATCTTGGATGAAGCTGCATTGCATTTGTCTGAGAAATGTAATGCTGTCACTGTAAATTTGAACAGAGGTAAGTGGTGGGCAAGAACAGCTGACATAGGTGAGTGCTGTTGTGCATGCGTGTGTATGTGTGTGTGTGAGTGGTTTACAGCTGTGTGATTTTGGAGCACGCCAGTGAAGTAAGGATCTTATTCAAATCAGTCTGAAGCAGTGATGTTCTCATAAGATCAGAGAAACGCATCAGATTACTGATGCAGATACTGAATGTGTCACGTCAGGGCAAAAATAGTGAAAATAGTGAAGGGAGGATTTCTGTTGGAAGCAGCTATTGTCACTGCATTGTAAATGTTCATCGTGCCGTCAGCAGTGACGTTTTTAATGCTGTTTTGTTAGTTGTTAGTTGGAGAAGCATTTTTAAAACAAGTACTATATGTTACATAGTTCCTCTCTCCAATTTTAGATTATGTGCGTGTGATGGATATGGGGCTTTTGGAATTAACCATAACTGCTGTGAAGTCGGACTCTGAGGTAGAGCGAGTAAGTCATTAAAATCATGGAAATGTTTATTTGAGAGATATTTTCTGTACATTAAAAAAAAAAAAAGTTGATTTCACAGGAGAATTGCTTTTCCATACACCTAATTTGGTCAAAGTGAGGATATTTTTAGATTTTATGGTTCTATGGCTCCTCTCTTCCTCGTGGTGAGGGGACTACCGTGTGGGGCTCAGTGCAGCCTGTGCAGCAGGCAGCGCCCCGCCCTTGTTGGCGACCCTGGGTTCCTTGTTCCTGTGCCCACGCAGGCTGAGCCACGCTTCGAGCTGCACTGCTCCAGCGACGTCGTGCACGTCAGGACCTGCTCTGACTCCTGTGCTGCGCTCATGAACCTCATTCAGTACATTGCAAGCTACGGAGATTTGCACGCACCTCCCAAGGCAAACATGAAGCCTGGAGCCTCTCCAAGAAAGAGCAAGGTACAGCCCCACTCGCATGCCCTGTGAGCAGCACATCACACCATCGGGATCTTCCTGACAACCACAGGGGAGGGAAGAAACTGAAAAGGCAAAGTGAACCCGTGGGTGTCTTGGGAAACCGTTCTGCTCTCTGATAGTCTTTGTCTCAGGACATTCATCCTCGGAACCACATAATGCATTTGTCCAGGTTTAAGTTACCTTCATCTGTCCTCAAAGAAGACAGAAAACACTCATCCTGTAAGAGCTTGGTGCATGGAAGTGGGGCAGGGCAATGTGATGAGCAAATACGTGTGTTATTGCCAGAAGACTGACTTGCATAGCCGTTCCCTCCGTGTCTGTTATCTGCAGCACCACTCAGTTCTCAGCTTTCTCTCATATTTCCATTGACTTTCTTAGCAACCCAGTGAGAGAGGAGTGTCTGTTAAAGATCAAATTAGTATCTGTTTTGTAGAAAAGTAAGACCCAGAGAACTTAGGTGACTCTCCTGACATTCGCTAACTTGTAATAGGCACGGCAAGAACTCTTAGATGTTTTGGGTCCAGTTCTGTGGGGTTTGTGTGCACAGTGGCTCCTCCCTGCACGTTCATGTCCAGATGCAGCATCTCCAGCTCACGTAGCATTTGCGTTGTCTCAGTTATTAGCCTCCTCCAGGGCTCTTCTGTGGATGGGATGCCCAGTCCCTTAGGCCCTGTGCTCTTGTGAGGTTCTGACGGGCATTGTCATCTGTGCCTCAGGGTCATTGTGACACTGAGATGCTGCTCCCTCTACTCCTAGTTCTGTTTTTAAGAAATTCCCCATTGCACTAAAGGTTATTTAAAATTATTCCTTTCATATTGGGTCTTTCTGTTTAAAAGGCAGTGACTCTGCAGTGAATCTACATTTGGCTAATGAGAATGGCTGGGCGTGGGTCTGGTGTGGAGCTGCACCTGGTCTGCTCGCCCTCCTGGCCTCCTCCCTACTGTCCATCGCTGTTGGCCTCCTCCTTGATGTGTGGCTCGGCAGCAGCAACTGGCTCTAGGGGGTGAAAGTCACTGAGCCATCAGATTTGAGCAGATCCAACAGGACGACAGCTCCTGCCCATCAGACTAACTCCAGTTCTTTCCACTTCCCGTTCTTCCACACGGCCTCCCTAGACCCCATGTGCCTCAGCTGGCTCTGAGGCAACGATGTGTTTACTGGCCAGGAGTTACAGGAATTAATTATAAACTTAAGATGAAAATGTAGTGGCTATTGGGCAAAACATAGAGAATTTAGTCTGTTCCCATTTCTGGCATTTTCTGAAATGCAGTCAGTTTGCAGGGCAAAATAAATGTCCATGGTCTGGCTCCTCAGCCCTCCTTGTTCTCTAACAGGCTTCTTGGTTATAGGTAGATTCCAGCAGTCGATCATCCTCACATGGTCCAGTCCTTCCTGAAGCAGATCAGCAGATTTTACGAGATTTGATGAGTGATGCCATGGAGGAGATTGACTTGCAACAAGCTACTGCGTCGGCGAGGCCACAGGCTAACGGTAAGAGAGAACGCGGCCTTCTGAGGGCATTGCTGTGGTGGCGACGGCTTCATTACTGTGCACAGTATCAGTTATGTCAACAGAGGCCTTCTGAGGGCATTGCTGTTGT